TTTGATACGTAGAATTTATCTCCTAGTTCTCGCGATTCGATTTCTGCAATCGCTTCTTGAATCGGGTCCATATTGGTTGAGTTTTGACGCGTTGAAGTTTTGTTGTTGTGGTGGTGGGGGTGCTCAACTGGCGATGGTGCTCATCTGGTGCACGGGCACTGTAGGACGCGCAATGACCCACCCCACTAAACTTAACACCTACACAAAATACCTTATAACTCCACTAATATAGACCTAATTCAGAAAGCGATTAAAGAAATTAAATTGCGCGAACTAGGCGCATCTTTTAGCTATTGCTAAGTTGCAAAAAGGTTTAGCATTAGCTATTGTACGCTCGCTTAAAGACACTAAGGCAAAACTTAGCCTCGCGCGCTCGCCCACCTCTCTATCTACCTACAACGCGAAAAGGTGCTTGTATAGTACATTAAATCCCTTACTAAGAGGCGTACACCACCTTCGCGTTTAATAATACGCCATCTTGCGTCATCCTTGCTTAGTAGAGACGTTTTAGAACGCTGGGTTTCTAGGTTCCTCTGCAGGAACTCCTCTTATCTTATCTCTCGCTAGCAGAGTCCTATAGACTAGAAGCGTCACAAGGCTGATTTAGCAACTAAGTATAGGTTGTACTTTAAGCTGTTACACAATAAGATGAAGGAGTACAATATACAGCCCTCTCACATCTTTAATATAGATAAAAAGGGCTTCTTACTTAGAATTCTTGGAAGGTCTAAAAGGATCTTTAGTAAGAGGCAATATAAAAGAGGAGGAGTTGTTTTAAGCCTACAAGATGGCTCTAGAGAGTGGATTACAGTCCTAGCCTGTATCTGCTTAGATGGTACACCTCTTTCTCCATCTCTCATCTTTTAGTCAGATGCTGGAGCTCTAAAATCAGCCTAGGTAGAGGCTATTAATCTAAACAAGCACTTAGTCTTTGTTACCTTATCGCCCTCTAGATAGACTAACAATAATATAGGCCTAGCTTAGCTTAAAGAGGTCTTCAAAGAGAGACTACACGCTACGCTTGAACTAGGTACTAGTTACTCATTGTTGATGGCCACTCATCTCATGTAACCATAGATTTTCTAGATTATTGCAACAGCTATAGGATTCTAGTTGCTGTATATCCTCCTCATTCGACCTATAGGCTTCAGCCTCTTAACGTTGGGATGTTTGGGCCTCTAGCGTCAGCCTACTCAAAGGAGTTGTCAAACTTCCTCTATTAGAGCCATAGAATCCTTCCTCTAGCAAAAGGAGACTTCTTTAAGCTCTTTTAGAGGGCTTAGGGTACAGCTTTTAGAAAGGAGACTATTATAAGCTCCTTTAAGGCAACTAGCATTAACCCACTAAATGCTAAGGTTATTCTCCAAAAGTTCTAACAAGAGGCCTCTAGTTCAGATGAAAGCTCTTCTTCTGTCCTTAGTGGAGATGATTAGCTTAAAATTGAGTCTATTATACGCCGGGAGGTGAAGGATTTTAATAATAAGGAGGTAAAAAAGCTTCGCTGAAGCCTCTATCATCTCTTAGCCTAAAATAGTATACTTAAAGGAGAAAACTAGGGCTTAAGGGAGGCTCTAAAGGTTAAAAAGAGACACCAAAAGAAGAGCTACACGCTTCAACTTAATAGGCCTGAGGAGTACCATAGAGGAGCTGTCTTTTAGTCTCCTAAGAAGGTTCGCCAAGCCAAGGAGGATAAGATAGAATGATAATAAGAACAATAGCAATTACAACTCTAGAAAGCTAAGAGATCTGAGTTAAGGAGACAAGCTCAATTGTACAAGCTTCAAATAGCCCAGGAGAAGCGTGTTGAGAGAGAGAGGCTCAAGGAGGTGAGAGAGAAGGAGAGAGCCGCCAAGGTGGCTCAAAAGGAGGCTCAAAAGGCAGCCTGGGAGGCTAAAAAAGCTATACAATTATCCTAAAGGGGTAAGCGCAAAGCCTTACAAGGCTCCTCTCAAAAGCAGAAGCGTTAGAAACGTGTTGTTGTTAATTCATCTCATGTACAAGCTAAGGTGGCTGCACTAGCTGTCCTAACTTGGACCACCTGCTATAGCCGCACTACTAAGCTACTAAGTAGATATAAGTAGCCTATTATAATTGCAATGCTATAATTACTATAACACTATAAAATCTCGTAATAATAGCGACTGTGGGTGGCTGTACAGCCTCATCTTTTGCAATAGGTTTTTTGGTGGGGTGGGTTATTGCGCGTCCTGGGTCATTGCGCGTCCATGCAGGTTAAGCGGAGAGCCGATCACCGACCATCTATTTAGCCAGGACAACCAG